GTTTTTTAAGGTGAAATTATTGTAGAAATAAAATTTCTATATTGAAATTCAATAATTGTATGTATGTACATATATATTTTACTATGTCTCTAAGTTTAATGAGTTTTACAATGTTAAATTTTACGCTCATAAAATTTAAGTGTCTTGTGTAAGACCTATATAATATGCTTTATGAACATTTAATAATATTTTATGAGTGTTTGTCGGCGTTGAGATTTTGCCGAATTCTAAAAGAATAACAGTGAATTTTCCTGAGCTGATAATAATAGCAGTCTTAGTATAGTTTTACACACGAAGAGGCATTCATATACAAGTACTCTTTTCCTTATTTTCTTGCTCTATACTTTTGAGTTGATGAATAAAATAGTCGAAACCTAATTTGAAATTTCTTTATCTAATTTTCTAATATGTTGAATTTTTATTCTAAATTTTAAATTTTCAAAAAACAAAAACCTCTTTAGTTATATTTCTTGGTTTTTTTCTATTTTCTTTGACTACTGATGTTAGATGTCTGTACAAATAATTTACAAAAGGATATTTAAGGAGGATAAAACAGAGAATTTTGCCATCAAAATTCAGGACATAAAAATTTTTCCATTAAATAAAAATTTTCTCTGTGTCTGAAAAAAAAAAACAAAAATCCTTATTTTTCCTATATGCTCCTACAAAATTTCCGTCAGTTCAGTTTTAAGTGAATCACAAATTTTTGTGAAAAGAAAAAATGAAACAAAAAGAAACGCACATTTAATAAAAATAGTGGAAAAAAAAATTTTTTCTTAGAACTCATGAAGTGTAAAACAAAAATGAATGGTTTTGGCTTTGATGCTCGCTGTTTCTATCATTTATAGTTGCCATTGTAATTGTTATTTGTAGAATTTCGTTACTTGTCATTGAAATTTGTTGCTTAATTTTTTTTCTAAGAACCAAAGGGTTTTAAATATTTGTAAGAGTTGATTTTGTTCTTTGAATTCTTTTAAAAAGTTCTTTATACGAAAATAGATAAAGAATTGGAATAAAATTGCTTTTCACATTGTGATTCATGAAATTGAATAGAAATAGGGAAAATTATTTTATTTTGATAATTTTTTGCCCTTTTTAAAAACAAATATTTAATGAAATTTTGTAGAATTAGTTTATTGTCTTATATGGAAACCTTTTAATCAAAAATTTTTATAACAATTTCAAAATTTGTTGAAGTTATACTGTTGAATTTTGTATCCTTTATAAATTTTGGGCAGTGGAACTTTCACAAATTCAAATACTTATAAGAAACTTGACTTAATACTATATAATTGATAGGGATCAGGCTGTTCGCAATTTATTTGCGCTTGGTTAGCCTATTCGAAAAAGTAAATGTCGTATAAATTCTTATAATTCTCTACCACATTAATTTTTGCATAAATATGTACATACAATGTATTACATATTTTTATTTACCTACCTATGTATATGTATGTAAATAATAATTTTAAAATTATAAATAAATTGTTGAAGTATTACATACATATGTATGTATGTACATACAAAATTTCTTTGACATATATTCGTATATATTTTAACAAAAAATTACTCGTTCAATTTCATTCTCATACTTTACTTACTATAATTAACATTCCACAAAATTTGCTCCTTCTTTGCATGAAAAGGATTTTAGGACTTTGTTTTTCTTTTGTTAATTTAAATATTATATATGTAGTTCCATTGTGAATAATTTGGTTTCATGCTTTACTTTCTTAAAATTCTTAATAATTTAATTAAGTTTCTCACTAAAAAATATTTTTTGAATAATACGAGGTTGAAGCGAGATTTTTTTTAATATGTACTCATTTTGCTCTTGTGTATGTGAAACTCTCATTTACATATGGTACCCATTGTTTAAAGTTTCTTACTCAGAACTTCAATATGGTTACATTTTTGATACAAAAATGCGACAAAATTCGTTTGATAATTTTCACTTTTGTCTGCCTTTTAATCTCAAGTATGTACAAATTTTTTTTTTTTTATTTCTTACTTTGCCGTTTTTTTGGTACCTAACGTTTAATTTTTCTTTTATTCATCATTATTTTGTTTTTCTTTTCTTGTTTAAAGTTAGAGAGTTATAAGTTTCTCCTACTTCTTATGTGTATATTTCAATTTGTATAAAAACTGCTAGACTTAACTGTTCATTATGCTTCCAATTGTTTTTGGCAAAGAAACCACAACCGAGTAAGTGACTTTTCAATACATTTTTCCTTCCTCTCAGATTTTATAACAATATTTATGTATAAATCTTGTAAAATGCATTTATGAAATTGTAAATCGTTAAGACACGTACATATATATTAATAATCAGACACGTACATATATGTATGAATGTATACGTATGCTCTTCTATTCACTTATTCTCTTGCATTGACAAGTTTTTCTTTCTGTTTCCTTTTGCTATAAGATGATGACGCTTTTTTTATTTGAATGTGCAAATACTTGAAGAAGTAATTTTTGTTTCTTTTTTCATTTGAACTCGTGGTGTTGTATGTGTGTATATGTTATTAACATTTTGGCCGCAATTAAATTTGAATGAAGTGATTTTAGAGGATCTTTTTTTTGATATGGTTGAAATGAATGAATTTGAAAGAATTTTTTTCTTTGGTTTTTTTTTCATTCAATTTTCATTAACTTCAGAAGAACAAAAAAAATTTTTTGCTCTTCTACTAAATATTTTAGATTTGGCACAAGAATATAATAAAATTCTTGATAATATCTAGGTGCATTCGTACTGTAATAAAATAGAAATTTAAATATTTAAATTCATGAATAGCAGAATGTGTATTTCAAATTCTAAATTTCGTTTTTTCCCCTCCTAGAAAAATAAAACTTTTCTAAAATTTTATTGTATTCAATTTGAAGGCTAGGCACTAATCATAAGATTGTCTTTTTTCACAAACCTCTTTATTTCTTCCATAAATCTCTCAAACCCTAAAAATAGTTGGCTTTCAATTTAACCTCTGCAAAAACTCAACTCTATTACTTACGGATATTTTGATTAAAGTTTACGGTATACAGAATCCAAAACGTTATTAAAGTTTATGTTGAATAGTAAATTATAAATTACTCAATACATAGTGATTTTAATTGAGGATTAAATGTTTTATAAACCATTTGGTTAAAAGTCGTGTCAAAGAAAAATTTTACTGTTTCTCGGATTTCAAATGGTAAAACGTTGCCAAATATTAGAGTTTGTTAACAAAAATTCAATAGTCATTGCATTAATTTCTTTCTCTGTTGTTCTTTCTAGCCTACGGATTCCACTCCAATACCTGTCTTGCGATGGTTTCAGCCGGGCGTCACAATGTATAGCCTATCCATCTCCATTTTTTCTTCTTTATAACCCTTGCGATTGGTTCTTGGTTTGTTAAAGAGCAGAGGTCTGTGTTGCTGATTCGTTTGGGCCAGAATACACGGCAGATGATTCTTAGGCTTCTATTTCTGAATACCTGCATTTTATTTGTGTATTAATCTTTCACTAGCCTTGTTTCGGAACCATACAACAGGACCGGCTTCACACATGTGTTGAATGTTCTTAGTTTTGTATTCCTGGATAAGTGTGAGGATTTCCATATGGTCCATAATCTGCCGAATGCCGCCTTAGCAAGTTTTAGTCTATTTTCAACGTCTTCTTTAACCTCTCCGGTTGTCGATATCATACTGCCGAGGTAGTTCAATTGTTCAACATCTTGTATAGCGGCTGTATTTATGACGAAGGGGATAGTATTTGCTGCGTTAATTCGGAGTGATTTGGTTTTTCTCGTATTTATTTACAGACCGACCGCTGCTGCCTTTATATGCAGCTCATTCTATTTTGCTTGCATATATGAATGTGTGTTGGACAGCAGAGCGATGTCATCTGCGTATTCCAAATCCTACAGGCGGCTCGTTAAAGTCCATTGTATGCGTCCTCTTTGTTTTCTGAACCCAGCTTGCTCTTCCCGTATGGTTTCTTCAATTTTCGTTTCAATGAATTGCCTTTTTAATCAATGTTAAAATCCTTGGTAAAATATTTAAAAAATTTTTTTTGTTTATTTGTTCCACTTGATTAAATTCATAGCATTAATCAGCAAGTGTTAAAATGTGATTTACTTTATTAAGTGTTAGAATTATTATTAAATTGCTTATTCATTAATTTCATGTTCAATTTTCTTGTTTTAAATTATATTGTAAGCACATCAATGTTAGATGTAAAATAGCAAGCTGAATCAATTATCTTGAATTGAAAGTGAAATTATTGGTTTTGTTAAAATTTCAGCGCTTTATTCAAAGAATAATATAAAAGTGCAGAAAGCGAATTTGAATATTATAAATACAAAATTTAATTACCACTCTTACTAGTTTATGAATTTTAATATCGCAATTTTAAAAAGTCAATTATTCATTTGCAAACATTAGCAGTTCAGAAATCCATGCAAATATTTTTTGACAGAGAAAGTTTTTTTTACCAAAAATAAAAAAAAGTATTTTGGTTTTATTTTTGTTGGTTACGAGTTATTTTTAATATTTCATTTACCTTCTTCTTGTTATTACTTATTGTGAAATTTTGCTGTCATGTTATAGATTTAATGCTCTTAGAATTTTAAATTATTTGTTAGCTTTGCGTTATGCTAAATTCAAAAAACGACAAGTTTCAAAAATTTTGCTTTCTTTATTTTTGGAATAATTCATCTCAGTCCGGCACTAGAGTTGCATACATGATTAAAATAAATAATAAGAAGAAATTGCTTGAGAAATGAATCGCACTTGAAAAAGAGAAAAAAAAAGAGAGGATTGTGCTATTGCTTTTTAAACGGATTTTGTGGAATCTACTTGTATTTGGAATAATAAGTCGTTAAGATCCAATGAAATTGACTTCTATAATTAGGTTTTACCGAAAAAAGACGCTTCGAAATTCAAGCGTGTTCTTGCGTTTCTTTTTTTCAATAAAAATTTTAATATAAAAAATTTAAATTACTTTTTCATTTTAATTTTAGAATGTTTTGATGCGATCAAAGACTAGCGATAATTTGAAAGCTTCTTCATCAGACAGACAACAGCGTGATAGCAATAAATATGCTAGCTATAATCCATTGAATGGTAGTGACAGCTTGGGTCATCATTCAAATGATTCAAATGATGATCACGAAGATAAAGACATTGGAACTGAAAAAGATTATAAAAATATTCAAATACAAAAGAATGGTGCTCTAAATCAATGCATTAATGAATTAACGTCAACATTTAAACGTGATTCAACAACAAAAAATAATAAAGTAACAAATGCAACATCTGAAGTAACGAATTTGTCACAACAAATAACATCGACAACAAATAATACTTCGTCGTCTATGACAACTTCAAGTAGTAATGATAGTCAAAAAATATGTGATTCATCTACAATTATATCTGGAACAACATCAGCAACAACAACAACAACCACATCATCATCATCATTATCAACATCATCATCGTCGTCATCATCTGCAACATTAACTGCAAATGTTGATAATCAAACAATTAGTAATGATAAACCATCACATTTTGTAACGGTTATTGAAGTAAAAGAATCAAAAACCACACCTGTTAAAAATATTATTGGTAATAATAATAATAATACAACATCAACAACTGATTTAATAAGTGGAACATCAACAACACAAATAACAACAACAAATAATTGTAATAGTAATGGCAATAATATAATTGAACAACGACGACATTCTAGTGAAAGTGAAGCGATCTTAACAAGTACTAATAATATAAATAATAATAATAATAACAATAATAATAATAATATTGGATCAAATAAAACAAAAGTTGAACCGACAGCACCACCTATGTCACCAGCAATGAGTATTTCTACATCAGGTGTATTACAATCTGTTTCATCGACTACAAATACTGCTTCATCGACATCGTCAGTTTCGTCATTCAGTGGAGGTGGTAGTAATAGCGGTGGCGGCAATATAAGTAATATCAGTTCAAGTGCTAGTGCAGCAGTTAGTGATGCAAAGAAAAAGGTGCCACCAAGGTAAGTTACATTTTTTATAATAATTTAATTATTTATTTTTTTTGCGTCTTTTTTTCTCGTTCCTCGTTATTGTAAGAGTAAATGAAAGAGAAAAAAATTATAATAAATAGCAATTACAGTTATGCATTATAATTATTGGTGATCTATTATCGCACCTGAAAATTATACGGTTCACTTATAAAACCTGGTTTTTCTTTGTGCGTTTATTGTAGTTACAGGCCAGCCATATTTATTCATTTCATATTGTAAATATGTTGAGTAATTTTAAATTTATTCTCATGTCGTAATACGTGAGACAATAGTCTGGTTGTGTTTTCTGTTTTCGTTTTTTGACTTTGAATTTTTCTTTCTTTCTTTTTTTCGTCGGTATGTTTTTTCGTTATAATTAATAAATTCATAATTTGAGTGAATTGATTTGTCCTTATATTACATTTTAAGCAATAATTCCAATAGTCAGAAAAGTATCTAAGAAAATTTATTTTTGCACAACAATTACTTGAATTCCCGATTTCTTTAAGTTTTAGTTCTATAACTATTTACTTGTACGGTTTCGAATAGTAATTTAAAAATATTTCGTGATTTTTAGTGTATGTTTGTATATAGAAATCCCAACATTATTGTGTCAAGCATGATTGTAATATTCATGTACCCATGTAATGTATGACTGTTATCACACTTTCATACAAACATAAATGTAGGAACATTCAGAATCTACTCATTTACTTCTTTTTGTTATTTAACAATTACCACAGTAAGTAAATGAAATTATTCTTAATGACATTTCGAGTCATAAAGGAAATACCAAGTAATAAAAAATAAAATTAAAAAACAGCACAGCGGCTAAAATTAATGTTACAAACTTTTTTAATGTTCCCCATTTTTAATTTGAAATTCATAGACAATGCTCTAATTATAGTTTTGATTATTTTTTGTACTTACTTCCGAATGTAATAACTCACATACTTAAAATTTAATTTTTAGGAGAAAAACATCCAAGTTACAGCTTGTTAATTTCTAATGCCGATCCATGAATTACCTTTTACTTTAAATTTTTCAATGTGTGCTAAAATGTACATACGTACATACATATGTAGGCTAATATGATATTCTTTATGACATGGATGGCAATTAAAGGGCACGCGTGCCAAACTTGGCACGGAAAAAAAATTTGATGGCACGTTATAGTTGTGCCTCGACAAATTTTTATATAGATTTTTTTTCTAATAAAAAATCTAAAAACTCGTTGAAAAATTGATTGAATGAAAAATTTCCTAAAAATGATAATTTCCTAATAGCGAAATGACAAATATTCAAAACCAAACATATTCAAATGTTATATTCTTTTTATTTTTGTTTTTTTTGATGAAATACACATTTTTGAAAAAACTAATTGGAATTTCACCTATGAATTTACAAATATTCTTGTTTCTATTAAGCAACAGTTTGCACAAAGATTTCTCGATTTTAAAAGGATCGAAAATATTTTAAAAATTATTAATTACCCAGATTTATTTGATATGCAAGATTGTGACAATAACCTCCTTAATTGGATGCGATTAGATAATTTAGAAATGCAAATTATTGATCTGCAATCCAATCCAATTTGGGTAAATAAATTTGTGAATATGCGGAAGCTTGTTGAAGATTTAGAAAGCCATCGATCCCAAAATGTGGAATCAGAATGTTTCATGGAAAGTAAAATTTTAGAAGCTTGGAATAGTATGCCAGATACCTTTTATTCAGTCAAAAAATTAGCAATCTCGTTGTTAACGATTTTCTCTTCCACTTACTCTTGCGAAAGTCTTTTTTCCGTTTTGAATCATGTACATTCAAAGACTAGAAACAGATTAACAGAGGAAGATTCGGCAGCATGTATTACTCTGCAGTCAACAATGTACCAGCCCGACATAAAAACTCTTGCAAGTAATATGAAACAAAAAGTTTCTGATAAAAAATTAAATTAATATTTTTTCTATCTGTATTTATTAATTTTTATACCTTGAACTATAATATGTATAAATAAATATTATTACAACTTGTCATAATATTGTATTTACCTAACCATACCTGTACTTGGTACTGTGCTGGCACGGGAAAAAGTGTGACAATAAATTTCCCCAAATTTTGGCACTTTGATCAAACCCTATTTGCCATCCCTGCTTTATGACATGATAAAAAATTATTTTCAAATTAACTTTTTATTCTTTAGTAAAGTTAAACATTCATAAAGATACGGGTCATAAGGTCGTTGTAATTATAGTGTAAATAGTACACCTTAAAAATAGAGTTTTTTGATTTTGTTATTGACTTTGTTAGGAATTAACTTTTATGTGAAAGTTGTGATTTCCAGAAAGTTGGAAGAAAATATTTATGCAATCTTTACAGTAGAAGAAGTATTATTATGCTCTCCTTGAGGAAGGACTAATATATAACGCCGTTCTTTATGATCTTAAGAGATTAAAGCCTATTTTTATAAATTAAGACGTTAAAAAACTTAAAATTAAAAACTAACATTTCAGAATCTAGTTGACAAAGCTACAAAACATCTATTTTTTACTTCTCAATTGAATCACACATACATACCTTTAAATTTTTAATTTTTTAATGTAAAATAATTTTAAAATACAGAGACATACATACATATATGCGTACTTATGTAGCTGCATAAATGTTACACATTTATCTGTTGTGCATTTATCATAATTCTAATATTCTACAGATTAATTACAAAATTTCAAATATTTTTTTGGCTTAATGAAACAAACATGCATTACTAATTGAAAATGTCGAATAAATTTTAAAATTTTCTATTCTTCGCAAAATTTATTTTTTCAAAAGTTGGTCATAAAAATAGATCAAATATGGGACACGATTTGCACGCTCTAACTACTTTTTTTTCCTCTTGTTCTAACTTCTATTCGTTCTTTTTATTTTCCATTTAGTATATGAACATGAATTACAATGATACATTACATACCGTATGTATTTGTATACGTATGCGCAGTTATATATTCATATGTATGTGTGTACTTACTGCTTATCTATTTTAAACAATGAATAAAGAAACGTTAGACAAATATAGCAGCATTTAATCTGTACATACCTAGACTATCGTGCGCATACTATCAAAATGCAAGCTAAAAAGATGTGTATATATATGTATATAGATACATATGTTTTTATGTATCTAAAAAAATAGCAAGAATAAAAACGACTTACTTATAAACAAATCTGCCATCTGGTTTTTAATATTTGAAATAAACCGCTAGATTCTTTTTAACATTACATATTAGATATGTATGAGTTTTTTTTAATATTTTCTATTTCAAACTTTTATTTACTAGTTATTACTATTCGTGTTAACTAGCATAGCGACCACTAACTAGTAAAGAAAAAAAAAACGGCAAAAACCGGTTATTATGACTTATCAACGATTATAATGATATTTTCATAGTTTTTTCTACTTTTGTTAGTGCTTTAATGAATAAATTGGAAAAAATTTCAATCGCATATTAAAAATAAAGAAAACCTTTCCAGTTTATAGATTACGGAATTATTTTTAATTATTATGAACCATGGTGTTAGAACAAACCTATAAGATAAAATGTGGTATAAATTGTAAATGTATCGATGAACAGTGTGGTCAACAAGTGAGAAAAGTTTTATAAAAGTTTTTCGGTATGCAAGTCTGCAATTAAATCAATTAATTTCAGGAATAGAAAACTTTTTTCTGTGTTTTTCTTCTTACATTATGTTTTTAGATTTTTAATGTGCCCCATAACTAACTGCTTTTTCAAATTTTCATATTAATAGTTATTATACTCATAGGGCTATTTTTTTCAAATAAGAGAGTTAATGTTAAGTTATAACAAGAGATTTTTAACAGATTAAAAACAGATTTTCCGAATATTTTCTATCAACATGATGAAGCAAACAAAAATTAGCCTGGCAACATTGAGTCATTTATATACAAATTTATATACTTGAGGATTATTTAAATGCCAGCTGAAATGAGAGTGAATAAGTAGATAACGTTATAATTGTAACAAAAAAAAGCATAAAATGTGGAAAACTTACTGTAATTTAATGAGGATGAAAGTAACCCATGCGGTAAATAAAAAAGATAAACAAAAAAAAAGTTGAACAAGGTGAAGATTAAGAAAAGAAATGCAATACATTTATGTATTTGTATTGACATTGACAGCGGGTAGAAATGAGAACTCAAAAATTTTTAAATTTAATAGATTAAAAGTCAACAATTCTTTATAAAACTTAAACTGTTTTTACCATGGTTTCTTGGAAATTCAAGCCCAATCATAATTATTTTTATATTCAACAGCAACTGTCGAATTTTTCAGGAAATTGTTAGTACCTACCTATAACTGGGAAAGCGTAATGTCGTTTTTAATACTTTTTAATTGTGTTAAGGTCTGTGTACAAATTTAAAAGATTGCTGGAATAAAAGCAAAACTGCAAACGAATCAAACTTTTCAAGACTACCATAGTCAAATATTACTAATATTTTAAAAGTTTTTACAAAATGACAGGGCACTTGCTTAGTGGTAAATTTTTGTATTGTAAATTGACGTTTACAAGTAGTATGTCTGTACATAGTTTTGAAAATAAAAATATTTGTTTCTTGTTTTACTATTTGAATAATTATACTTTACTCAAGCAAATTCAATAACATTTTTAAAACGAGAAAAAAAATAGAGTTGACCTTGTCAACTCTGTGATACCCGTACGAATTTGTTATTCTATGTGCGAATAACTAATGTGCCATAACTAACTATGGGGCCATACTATGACTTTAAGTTGCCGTATTACCATATTAATTTATGCAAAATTTCAGTACTATGTGTTTTTCAAAATACTGGTTGTGCCAAACTACTATTGAAGTTGTATGGCAGCTACCAGAAAGAGCCAAGAAATTTTAGCGAATTTTATCAAGCACATCTGCCCTACTAATATATTCGCTTGCGTGAAATTTCAATATCACA